GGCTATGGAATTACAACGCTAAAATCCGGGGCTCGATTCTTCACGGTGGACACAGTCCATTGTGGTTTTTCTCTGAAACAAGCTCGCACTACAGCTCTCTCGTGAGTGCAACAGATTGTTAGACGATTCACAAGGCTCTATTCAGAATTGAAACATCCAATACTAATATGAAGATATTTAGGGAAATTTCGAGAAGGAGTGTATAAAATAGTCCTTAAACAAAATCCCAGGAGTGCTCGAGGACTCGGTAGTCCTTCTTCGCCTCGAACGTGAAGGGATAAGGCAACGCGACAAATATATATACATGAAACTAGACATATATATATAGATATATTTACATAAGCTAAGCACTGTGTCGGGAGAGGCAAAAGCGGTGTATTTCGACAAACGGCCCCTATTCAGGGGGTGGGGATCTGTAGGTTCTTTGCCCGATTTAATTTTCATGTGTGTGGGGGGGGGGGACCAGAGTACCCGGTGAAAACCCACTTTCACTAATTGGGGGGCCTAATTAGTTCCCAGTTAGTGCCCAAAATGTTTGGGTGATAGGTGTAACTGCTTGATATTTTGGCAGTGTTGCGGTAGAATTTAGTTTCTTTAGTCGGGAGTTAAATGAGGGTAGAATGTCTAGTTTATTTATGTAGCACATGGGGGTGTATCGTAGTAGGCGTAGGACTATGCGAATTGCGCTGTTTAGTAGTGCTTAAAGTTTTTGTTGAATGCTATTGCTCAAGTTGCAGAGTGATCACAGATCCATCATCTATATTGGGTCTGATGAACATTTAATTTATGAGTGTATTGGTGTGCATACTGCAGCCGTGGATCTTGTGTCCGATTTTGGCGCGAATTTTGGAAAGTAGGGAATATTTTTTCTGGAACGTGATGCCTAAAAATTTGGCGATGTCTTTAAAAACAAGAGGTGTTTCTCTCAATTACATGGATACCTTCTTGAGTAGTTTAAAAATTTTGTTTAGGCTTTTGTGGAGTATAATGGCTTAAGTTTTGGTGGTGTTGAGTTCGATACGCTAGTTACTGCACCATTTTAGTGTCTTGTTGAATAGTTGAATAGTTTGAGGGCTACGAGTCGGGGTCACGGGAAGTGCACCACACCGCAATGTCCCTAGCGTATTGTGAAGCTAGGATTAGGTTGTCCTGTGGTTTGGGTAAGTCATTTACATATAGTATATGTAGTAAAGGACTAAGCACCGAACCTTTGGAGACTCCAGCATTAAATTTGAATATGTTTAAGAGGATATTGTTAATGTATATTTTGACAGAGCAATTTTTGAGGAAGCTAGAAATCCAATGAGTGATTGTGGGAGGAACATGATATTTAGAAAGTTTGTATTTTAGGCCGTCGTGCGAAACTGTATCGTAGGCTTTTCTTACTTCAAGAAAGATTGATATGGTGGAATGATTTTTATTGAATCCACGATAAACTGAGTCGGTGAGTCTGACAAGGTGATCGGCAGTTTGCCTTCTATTAGCATTTTGTATATCGCTGATAGTATTGTTGTTTTCTAACTCTTATTGATCTAAAATCGTTGGGGTTGCTTCCTTTTGGGGAGATCACGGTAATGATGGCGGATTTCCATTTTGTGGGGTGGTAGCCTGCTTTAATGCACAGGTTGAAAAGTGAGCTTAAGTGTATAAGTAGGTTGGGTGAAGTGCTTTCAAGAATGAGGTTATTGATTTCATCCTCGCCGAGTGCAAAGTTCTTAAGTGTTTTGGTGTGAAGTTTGATTTCAGCTGTTGTGAAAGTTCTTATCGATGTTGTTAGGGTTGCCGCTTGGGGATTCAGGAGTTATTGTGATAGGGACATTGGGCCGTTACATATGGTTGTTCTTTGTTATAAGGGTGTTAACTGTTTGATAAATATTGTTGTTGAAAGAAACACAATTGAGTGTGATGAAAGTATGGTGGAAATAATCGGCGAATAATTGAGTTTTTTCCTGGTCCGATCAGCAGCAGCCTGTAATGTAAGGTCATGACCAAACAAGCCGCAACATGACCTTTTCCAAGAAAAGGCCGTCTGCATACAGGTGTAGCACACATGCACTGTCTTACGTTATTTATGGTGAACACTCTCACCACTATGACATCAGAACATGTATGAAGCAATGCAGCCCTCTGACTGTGTTGGCCCACGGCGACAGGCACAGGTGAACGAATTCAACAACACGTGAGTTTTTCCACCATTGTCTTTTTGTCTTGGAGACAGAACACTGGTCCAATAAGAAAGGGATTAAACTGTAGAAAAACGCCTTACACTGGTAAACGAACTTTAGCCAACCACTTCACAAATTGATCATAGCTTCTAACCTTGAAGGTTTCGTAGTTTCTTTGTTCTCAACCCTGACATACCTTGTGATGAAAGTTAAATATAATGTTAATAAATAAGTAAAATCAAGTCTGGCTTCATAAACAAACCCATAATTATATCTATATAGACCACACAAAAGTTATGTTAGTTTGCATTATTCTTGAATGCTTGATTTTATACTGTAGTTACTCGGATATAGAGGTGACATGGCCTGGTTGTTAGTGTATTTGGATCTCTATTCGTAAGGTTGCAAGCTCGATTCTTGCTCCCGCTTAGTCGTTTCGTCATCAGCTGGAGGGGGGGGGGGAGGACTTGCGATGACTTTTGTTTGTCTGTTTTTAAGCAACAAGCTAAACAATGAGTTTTCTATGTTCTGTCCAATGTGGGTATTGAAACTTGATTTTTAGCTTTATTATTTCTCAGATTTTCAACTGAGCCACCGAGGTCCAACCAGCGATGGACCAGGTTTTACCATTCACATCCGCTTGTGCAACAGGAAACCAGAGCTAAGCACCGCCCTTATGCATATCTTTCAAGTGCGAAAATTATTAATTTAATTTACTTACACTGAACCTGCGATGGACCAGGTTTTTCCATTCACATCCGCTGGTGCAACAGGAAACCAGAGTTAAGCACCGCCCTTATGCATATCTTTCAAGTGCGAAAATTATTAATTTAATTTACTTACACTGATTTACGGGTATATTCAAGTTGAGAGTTTGTTGTTGTTTTTTGACAAATTCGATTTGATATAATTAAGAGTTAAACTTTTGTTAATCTTTTAAGGTTTACCCGAGAGCGGCCAAATGATTGGCGTGTAATTATTGTAAATTTTAAGGTTCGAGTAAAGTTTCCGCAAAAATGCGCTCCAAAAGTTGGCGGTGGTTGATTTCACTAATTGTTCAAAATTAGGACGGCTATGCAAATGTACTGGACGTGGCCTAGTGGTTAACGTGCCAAATTGTGTATCCGCAGATCCAGGGTTTGCTTCTCATTGCCAAAAATAAAAACAAATCGCGCACTGCACTTGAAACCGTGAGTTTGTTATAACAGTGATAGTGAAAGCCCACTATTTAATTAGAGTAACCCAAACGTTGGTAGTGGGTACTGTTTATTAGCCGTCTTCCTTCTGTTTTTGTTGTTGAGCACAAAACTACACAGATGATGTGCTGTACCCAACGCGGATATCAATTGTTTTGGTTTATTTTGAATTTAGCGCAAAGCTACGCGAGAGCTATCTGCGCAAGCCGTCCCTAATTTAGTAGTGAAAGATTAGAGGGAAGGCAGCTATTCGTCAACACCTATCGCCAACTCTTGGGCTACTCTTTTACCAACGAATAGTGGGAGTGACCGTCACGTTATAACGGCCCCACGGCTGAAAGGGCGAGCATGTTCGGTGGGATGGGGATTCGAACCCGTAACCCGCAGATTGCGAGTCGAGCGCCCTAAACACCTGGCCGTGCCAGACCACGGATATCGAAACCAGAATTTTAGCGCTAGACCACCGGAGGGCACCTTTCCTCTAGTCTATCAGCTCAAACTTAGGAATAGATAGAGCAGATAGTACTTGAGAAGCTTTGCACTCAAATATTCGAATCAAAGCAAATCTAATAACCTTGTGTAGCTTTAAGCGAAAATTCTGAACAAACCTTCTCATAAGTTGTTTTATTATCTATCATATTGTTTTTGGAGTACTTAGCTATTTTTAATTATATTAACTGGATATATAACTATATGAATTTTTATGTTTAAATGTTTTACTTTCGTGAAATTACATAAAATATTGATTTTGCAGCATTTAAATATATATAATTTAATAAACCTAATATTCAAACTTATTTTATTTTGATTTTGACGGTACTACTATTGGTATACGTGAAGATTAATAAGATGTGATATTAGAAATAAAAATCTCAGAACATTTTTTCTTCATTTGAACTCTATTGACTTTCTCCTTCCATATTCGTTTATTTTTTGATGAACTGAGAGCCAGACGAGGCCTAGTGTTTATTGGATGATCCAGGGATCGAGCGAGTATACGTCGCTGAACAGTTATATTATCTCAAGATTATTTTGTTTGTTTGAATGTAAGCATAAAGCTACACGATGGGCTATCTGTACTCTGCCCACCACAGGTATCGAAACCCGGATTCTAGCGTTGTAAGTCCGCAGACATACCGCTGTGCTACTGGGGGCTCAAGAGTAATTGTATACAAAATTAAGAGTTACGGTTGAATAAGTTACCTTGAAATATATTAATTAAAGGTTGCTTAAAGTTTAAGGAAACTATGTTTAAGATGCAACAAGAAGACACACATATATATATATATATATATCAAAGTATTGAAGTTAACTGGTAAGAGTTTAGTGTTAAGCTAATAATGCTTCAAGACGGCTTGAATGGGTAATGAAGAAAAACTTTAATATAAGCATTATTAGTCTCAAAGTGGGTTCGTCGTCATCGAATTAGTGTTAAGCTGTTGTTCGTTATCCTGACCTTCACCTTGACCTTCACGGACGAAAGAAAATAAGCCCCTAGGTCACACCGAAAACTGGACATTAGAGCTTTTGTAATAGTGGGCTAAGACTGAAGAAAGGGTTCTGGATGACATCCGGGTTTTCTAGCTCTGGCTTTAAATATGTTCAGTACAGTGTTGGACTTTCTATCCATGTGCAAGCCGAGTCTTCCTCTGTTTAATAGGGTACCTGATAGCGTCACCACTAAAGGTAAGAAGAAGAATCGAATGATCAATTAGTACTTTAAGCCCCACAACCATCGGTTAAGTGTTTAACTAAAGTAAAATACCAAAATATTCATCATTTTAAAATCTAGGTAAAAACATTTTTTCGCAAATGGTGGTAAATTTAATTTAATTTTTGCATCTTTTAAGGTTTATTTTGGTTTTGGTTTCTAATCATAGTATTAGTAATGAAATGTTTTCAAAAGATGTCAGCTATTTAAGTCCTTTGCATGTACGGAAACATTATGGTATATATTTAAGTATTTTTGTTAAAATAGGCTTAATATGTTAGTTATTTGATCATAAACATCAGTGACAACAGTGCTAACCATTCGTTTTTGGGCTTAGAAATTCCTGTTTTGCTCTATTTATCATTAGAAAATTTTAGTCAAGTTTAGCAATACTACTGATTTTTTATACCATTTCTTTCTTTTTTAACATCAAATTGTCTGAAAATCAATTTATGCCATTGTTTTAAGGTAAAAGTTCATGGTTAAGAAAATATAAAAAGCACACCTTTTAAGTTATAATTTGGGAAGTTATTTAAGGCAGTAATGAATATTATGGCTCATCAAATCCACAGTTTGTTTATATATAGATTGCGTATAACCAGAAGTCAGAAGAGGTATAATTATCTTCTATACAAATCACTAGCTAGGCCTCACTTGGAATATTGTGTATGATTTTGTTCTCTTTGCCTAAGTAATTGTATGGAATTGTTAGAAAGAGTTCAGCGGCAGGATACTAAGAAAACTCCATGGAAAGAAGGGTTATCGTACAAGACTGTATTAATATATCTTATTCTTATTTTCTCATGAGAAAATAAGATGTGCTTTTTAAAAGGTTTTATTGAAGTATATAAGATTATCCAGGATGATCGATAAAATAGACGTTTCTGATTTCTTTGTGATGTATTCTGAAGATAAAAGACTGAGAGAACACACTCTTAAAATTTGGAAAAGACCCGCCAGGCTCCATTTAGAGCAGTTTTATTTTCCAATACTTGTGAATGACTTAAGGAATGAGTTATCTTCAACAGTAGTTGAGGCCAGCAATTTACAGTAAAGGGTGGATTGAAATTTTTACTTTCCACAAGGGTGAATGTGCAATGAAAATCTTGAAAGACTAAATGGACCTTGTTATCCTTTGGTTATATTATTATTCTTTTTAGTGTCGAAGACTGTTACGACCGTTGGGGCACCTTAGATGCTAATGCATCTTCGGTGTTTCTCGGCAGATATACTTGTTGGCACCAATCTTCTCTCCAGGTAGATGTCCCTAATTTAGAAGTGAAAGACTAGAGGGAAGGCGGCTAGTCGACATCACCCACCGCCAACTCTTGGGCTACTCTTTACCAACGAATAGTGGGATTAACTGTAACATTATAACGGCTCCACGTCTGAAAGGGTAAGCATGTTGGCGACGGGGATTCAATCCGCAGATTGAGAGTCGAACGCCCTAACCACCAAACCATATTAGACCAATATTAATGTAGGTGTTTCTAAATCTCTTCAGGAATCTAATATGTGGTACTACTATTTATAGTGCACAATAAATTTTAATTTTAATTAACCCCGATTGTTTTCTCGTGCTTTATTATACGTTAACAATACCAAAACAAAGATTAGAAAAATGGACTTATAGTTTCAACACAAAATCCTATAGAAATCTACAATTTCGAAATGATCTATAGAATACGTTCTTGCAACCTTAGATAATAAACTCGCACTGTCTGGAAAGTAACATGAAATATTTGTAACAACATTAGGAAGTGCACGTGTATCAGAATTTCAAACAGTTCATTTGATGGCGTCACAGTCAAAACCCTAAAATATGCAATGAAAAAATGTACTAACTGTAAATTATCAACTATGCTGCCTGTGTTCTGGATCAGTTTTATAAATTATTAATAAACATCATACTCTATAATAATAATAATGTTACAAAACAAATCCTGGCACCACAGTGGCTCATCGGTAAGCTGCATGCTTACAGCGCCAAAAATCGGGTTTCGATACCCGTGGTGGGAAGAGGACAGATAGCCTATTGTGTAGCCTTGTGCTTAAAACATGCCAACCATCCAAGTCACGTCTCCACAGCCAATTCAATTTTCACGCACTAATTTCTTCTCATAAACAAACTTTCTCATGGCAACGCCTGCGTCCGAATAGACTAACCTTGCTAACAATTACTGTAATGTAATTTTTGTTATCTTACTATTAGCAATTATGTAAGCAAATTCCGCCATAATTTTAACATGACTATTAATTAAAATGAATAGTAATAAGTGAAACGAACTGCGATTCGTTCTAGACTGCCTAAGTAGGCCAGATTCACAGTTAGAGACAGCTTGACAAGACATGAACAACGTTTCAACAAGGTTTTGTCGTCATCAGGTGCAAGTAGTTTACATAGAGACAGGAATATACATTCAGTATGAAACAAAGAGGTCACATGACCGAGACTACTTAACACCTTAGTAAAGGTATCTTGGCACCCTAGTGTGTTGGTTTAGAGCGGGGTTGTTTTTTTGAATTAAGATTGGTTCTTAGATTTTGCGTTTGTTGATGTTTAGTTATTTGTGTAGAATTACAGTATTAATAAATATACTTTTTTGTAGTAGCAATGGTGATAAATATAAGAAGGTTTGATTATATTCTGTGAATCTGGTTTCGAATTTTTTTTCGGTTTCTCTGATGTAAAATTCTGGACAGTTGTTTCACGTTATTTGCTAAACGACGTTGGTATTGTGTGATTTTATATTATTGTTTTAGTTTAGGGCCTAGTTTTTGAGTGGATTTGAAGCCGACAGGAATTTTATGTTTAATGGCAAGTTTTCTCCAAGTGTGCGTTATTTGTTAATTAATTTCAAGGTAAAATGGTACTATTACTGCTTTAATATATTTGGGTTTAAATTAAACGGTGGTTGTCTTATTTTGTTGATATTGTTACGTCTCCGTTTGTTAATTAACTTTCCGTAAATTCGTTCCGACGAAACTTTAGCGACACAAATTCTTTACT